TGTCTACTTTTATGCTTCTTGTGTAGACCACAGGGGGCCTTTATAGTGACAGCTCGCAGCACTAAAATGGTTCATATCTAACATCCATTTTAGAAGAGGGCAAGTAGTAATCAAAAGCAACTGTTTTAACCATTTTGGACCTCCTTTAGATTGTGCTATAATGACAAAGCTTTGCAGATTTTGATAGTTTCTGCACTTTTAACCTTTAAAAAATAAAATTATAAAAAAAACAAAAGATGCAATTTGACAGGCAAATTCTTTTCCAATAAATAGTTCTGAATTAAACCTCCACTTTTTGGTTGATTTCATTTAACTGGAAGTGAGCAATGATGGGGAATCTGAGTGGTGGTATAGTGGTGTGTTGGTTTTCCCAATTTCACACAGGCCAAAGGTCTGGATTTTCCGTTAATTGGTGATTATAAATTGGCCACTAGTGTGGATGATTAAAGTATGTATGCATATGGTTTATCAAGTTTTCCCCATCATTTTCAGGAGTTATTGTTTCCTGGTTTTGCTTTTATCTGCAAAGATTTTCATGTCACGCATTAAGAGATGCCGTGTGCATGTTTTAAGGGAATTGCTAGGCTTCTCTTGCTAATAATAGTAACAAAAATGCTAAGTACTACATTGCAACTTGGTGCTCTAAATTGATTAATGAATGTGTCCAGGAAATATTTAATGAATAATCCAATTAAGCATGCAGGACTGTGCAATGGAGACATTACTGTGGACTACACTGTGTCCTCCACGGTATCTGTGCCCATGTGATGGCTTTGTAAGCTGTAATCACAAAAAAAGCTTACGGCACGTTTAAGGCCTCTTTAGTCTCCGGACTTGATGCTATTAGAATTGCACGAGAGCAATGTAGAATGGCACAAAGAAAAAGACCTGCTCACAGTCTCGCCACAGTCTCAGGCAAACCGACAGTGACTGAAGTGACTTTTGAATTTCTTTTTCTATTCTTAACTTCTGTCAGCGCAACCAGCGACAACAGTATTTAAGAAGATCATCCAAGCGTAGGAGGAGCGGCCTGGCGAGAAGCGGGAAGAGATGCTATTCGCTTAGGGGTGGTTACATAACATCTCACTTGCCTTCCTCGCTGCGGAATGCCGAGATAGTGTTTGTAAACAGAACGGCCATGTGCGTGTTCACGTGGAGGAAGCTTTTGACTCCCTGCCCTCTCTGTCTCACCCCTGAGGTAAACCCTGACATCGATATACGCTCACAGGGCCAGCAACCCTCTCTCCGGCCCTGTGCCACTCAAACGCAGTCTTATCTCTCTCAATCGATAATTAAACGTCAACTTGGCTAACGGCGCACCGCTTCGTAGTAGGAGGCTATGAGTTATATTTATAGCATATGTTGGTTATGAATATCTTTTTTTTCTTTTTTACCTCAGACCGGATCATAATTACTTTAACAAGTTAGGGCCATCTGGTTTGGTGGTCTTATTAGTGACATATTTTTTTGATCTGGCTTCAGTTAATAGACATTGTCTTACATAATGCAGTTTATGTTCAATCAATAGTAAAGTAAAACAAACACCATACTAAAAAAATGGCAAAGCTCTACAGGTTTCACTGATGCTAAAACAATGTGAACATTTTTGCAGCAGTACGTCAAAACACACTTCATGATAAATTGCATCCAACTGTAAATTCACTGTCACTCATTTGAACATTAAGATATGTTCAAATGAGTGACAGCGTTCTCACAGAGTGATCCCACTGTTGAAGCATCTGATAGTGGCTTGCTGCTGCTCCCTTGCTCTCTATAGGAAAACAAAACCCCAGCAGCAGACAAAAGGGAAATCAATATTGCAGAAATCAATACAACACTCAGTATCTCGCCATTTTGTCTTAGGAAAGCAGCTGAGCTATGGCCAGCCAGGTGTAGTGCAATCTAAAATGTCTAGCCTGCCACTGGACCTGTTCTGTGTCATTTCTGAAATGGCTCCTGGTTGGAAAAATAATACATGGGTTGGATAGGGCAGGGTCAGAGGTGAGGGCTTGGGTAAAGGCTTGCGTATTTTAAGTAGACAGCATTGTTGTGGAACGCTATGGCAACTGGACATTCTTCCCAAAGGTGATATTGTGTTTGCCCTAGGAGTGACATAAAGGGAACTTAAGACCATGACGAACTAGCAGTCCACCCGTGAGGCTTTATCTGTAGGTGTGGATAGATGAGAGAAGCTATGTGCATGTGATTGATCTATATGGCCCTTCCCCCACTCAGCCCCCTGTAGCCCTATTAATGCTTTCATGCCTTTTCAGCTGCTGATGTAACAGCAGCAATGCAGAGAAATATAAAACTGCAAAACTATTAGATGGTGGTTGTTTTTTATTTCTGTTATTATGTAGCATTAGTTGTGCAGGTCAGGATTAGCACATATAAATCCTTTGCACAGTCCAGCTGAACAGAAAGAGAAACATGGGATAGATCCACATTGTTTTTGTTATACTTAGCATCCACACTAGTGCACATTCTTGGATGTTGTGAAAGCTTGCTGACCCAGTTTTAGTTTGAAAACTTGAAGGGTCAGTTGCATAAAGCTGACACAACCCCTGTATATCCATAAAGGTGGTATTTTTATTTTATACATTTCAATAGTGGCTTATGCATTTTACATTTGCATATATAAACACTCCATTGCAAGTTATTGGACATGGCAATAGCTTGAAATTCAGTCACACACAGCAGATGACTAGAAAAGATATACATACCAGACATAAATGATATTTTTGTATGGTGGTCTGAGCACCGGAATTGCAAACAGAATAAAAACAAAATGGAAAGTGAACTAAGTGCAGATATAGCCACAAGTTATAACATCAGACAACTGAGATTAATAGTGCACTCTCATAGCAAGAAATGAGGTGGGTTCATTTCTGTTCATCAAAGTACAATGTCTGGTATTTCAAATGACACACTAAGCATTATCTGCAGTCTGTTAGTTTATGTGGGGCAATGGGATCACCGTACACACTTACACACACAAAGGCTTGGCTCACCTGATCTCATGCAGTCACAACATTCTTTATGAATGCTACAGAGAGCACTCTTGCTTAAGAACTTTTGTTGATGCTACACAGCCAGTGACCGTGCTCATCGTGTCAAAACACAGGCATGGTATTGCACAAGAGGTGTATACCACTACTGCTGGTTTTAAACTCTGTGACTTAAATAGTATCTTCTTCTACTAGCACCAGATATGTTTTTAAAAGTTGTACCACAGTGCAGGAACTGCATGGTCTGCATCGACAATCGAAGGGAAAAAAATACAACTTTGTAACCAAAACTTAGTAAATGTCTTTAGTAATTTGACAAGGAGCTTCACTGTCTATTTAACCTCTTTTAATCTTGCCCTTATGGATCATTAATAGTCAGTGTCTGAAAACTTTCGTGTTGATTTAAAGATAAAAACCGAAGCACAAGTTCTTCAGATAGCCTTGTTAAAGTGTGATGCCAAATTAAATGTCAGTCATTAGTCTCCATCTTCCTTTTGTTTAATTTGTACCCTGAGGCCACATGGCTATCTGACGACTGCAGTTAGCGCAATACACAAGCCTAGCATGGAAGCCTCCGAAATATTTTTGTTATACTAATGAGCCATTCAGATGTTAATCTTAGGTGAATTCACATACACAAGCAGAAACAACAAATAATTATGCATTTGATAATTAATAGGAGACTTGGCGTCCTATAATAAAGCTCAATTTACATGTATTTAAAACTATGAGGATTTATACATGATCGTGTTACTGCTATCATTCTGTTATTGTACTTCTGTTAATTTGCGATTCATACAAGGCAACATAGCTGTTTTTTATTTCAATTCCTTTAAAATAATGACATTTCATACACCCTGAAAGTCACAGGCACAATCTGCATTGTGTTGTCAATAATCGTTATGTCAGCAGCTATATCCAAAACCTACAACACCCTGTTAGCTGTGACAGCTTACTCCTTGTAATGCATTAAAATAGACAAAATAGTCTTGCGAAGTCACCAAGTTGGTCAGTTTTTTAGAATTGATGTTTGTTGTTGCTCCCTGATAACAACCTTGTGTTTAGTGTCAACTTCTAAAGGAAGTAAGGGAAATCTCCAGAATTACCAGTCTTGTTTGCCCACTTAATGGTGCAGTTGGATTGAATTTCATTTCCTTCATAGCTTTCTGACCTTGTCCACCTACACTACGCTCTGCCACCACAATTCTATTCTCCTTTGCTTCTCCTTGGGATTTGCCTTTGTGTCTGCTCGTCATTCAGTGGTGAAAGCAATGAAAGCTGATTCATATACACAAAGCCAGAAGCTATTTCAGCTCTGCTGCCGTGCAGACTCTGTGCACTTACTACTGGACATGCTTAGGTTGGACTTTTACTCTCCTACTGAAGGCTGAACAGAATAAAAATGCACATATACATCAGTGAGAAAGGATTGGGGAAACCAAAGTGAATAACTACCTAAATCTGAATCCAGATTGAATTAAAAAAAAAAACAGACAATACAATCATAATTATGATTTTGTAATAGTTGTCAATAACACATAAATGCTGCAAATGTTTTTTGACAAATAGGAAGTCACTTATACAAAAATGTTTGTTATATTACATATTGAATACATTTTTAATGTGTTTAGGAAAAAGCCAGGGTTGAATAGTAAAGGTAGTGTCACACAGGCATTTAAATTATGCTTTAAAAAAAAACTAACTCCTGAACAAGTCCACTGTTTTCTATAATGTATTCAAATGCAGCAAGAAGTGCACACAGGAAAACACAACTGCTGTCTTTCAGTTTTAGCTGGCACAAAAAAAGAGAGAATTTGTCAGCCATGTTGGAGTAGCTTTATCTCATATCCCCCCCTTATTATGTTGGCTCTTGCTTTTTACGATGTGGGGCATCTGCTGTACTTCATCTGACTAAATACCACCAAAAACACACACAAGGTTACAGGGGGGAAAGGGCTAAACGGATTATTAAGGTGCCGAGCCAGTTCTCACCTGCCTTTCACGTCCCTCCACTTTGTAGAAATTCCAACAAACCGTCTGGATCTCCTCTTTAACAAATCCTAAAGGCAGCCATCTTGCCTCCTTCTGTTCTTCTATGAAACAGACTATCCTCCACATCAATATTCATGGAAACCAGTCTGACGTCGGCTCTCATCATCAGGAGAAGCCCGGGTGTCGCTGTTTGGCAGCCTCAGAAGCACACTCATATGTGACTCCCGTAAGGCAGCAGAGGTACAGAAATTGGAAACGATGCTGTTTGGAGGTCAGGAGGAAGAGCCTTGCTTTGGTGTCTACCTCAAATAATTACAAAATCGCCTTCTTGCTGAGACCTTCCCACACAAAGAGGCAGATTTCCTTCCCCCCTATGCTCCCTCCTTTTTCTTCTTTCCTCAGCCGTACACAATAGTGAACACTAGGATTGCCCTGAAGAACTGGAGTGGATCCGGATTCTGGGTTTGAGACAGAGTATACTTTTCTGTTGAATATTGCACTGGTTTCAGCTATCTGACTGTGGCAGTGTAGAAAATGTCTCCACCCACTTCCTTTTTTTTTTCAGACAGGAAGCCAAGTGACTAAGGGGTTTTTTCCCTCCCTTTTTCAGTTTATCTCTTTCTTTTTCTGTCATAGCTTGCAGAAATTTCCCTCAAGTGTAAGAGCACTCCCTTTTTGAGAACACTGCAGAAACAACAACATGTGGCCAGTTATGGAGTCCAATCGGTAGAGCAATGAATTCCAAATGCTGTTGGAAATTCATTCTAGTCTGCCGACTGGTTCATTTTTAGAGTGACTTGTAAGACAAGTCTGCGGGCAGCATACTTTGCTTCATGTGTCTGCCAAGACCCACCTCCTGTTGACACACACCACGTGGGCCTGAAAAAAGAGAGTGCAGTGTGAGAGGGAAAGGGGATCAGGGTGATTTAAAAGAGAAATTCAGCCCTGGAATGTTGCTGAGTTAACACAAGTTAGAAGTGTTAGGAAGGTGGCAAATATTAATAAATGCTCTGTATTTATTTAGCGCTTTACTAGTCCCTAAGGACCCCAAAGCGCTTTACACATCCAGGCATCCACCCATTCACACACACATTCACACACTGTTGATGGCAAGCTACATTGTAGCCACAGCCACCACAGCACTGACAGAGGCGAGGCTGCCGGACACTGGCGCCACCGGGCCCTCTGACCACCACCGGTAGGCAACGGGTGAAGTGTCTTGCCCAAGGACACAACGACCGAGACTGTCCAAGCCGGGGCTCGAACCGGCAACCTTCCGATTACAAGGCGAACTCCCAACTCCTGAGCCACGATCGCCCCGTGGCGACTTCAACTGCTGTTTTTATAGGATAGGTCATAGGATTCTGAAAGGTAGCCGCAACCTGCATGTGTGTATGTTTGTCTGTTTGGTGTTAAACTGCTAAAGGTAATCTCATAAATCTCACCAATGATAGCGTTAGGAAGGATTATCGGTTGTCAGGGAAAAGTGTGTTAGTGTTTCTCTTTTTCTTCGAGGAATAAAGCAAATCCAAATGAATGAAGGCCTTATCACCTCAACCTTACTTTTTTAACATAAGCCAATTTGTCCATTTGGCCACATAAGAAAGGCCAACTAACTAGTTACCAGGTGGATCTTGTCTTAAAATAATCTGCTATTATCTGTACTGCAGGCTTAAGACCCCACCTCTTTCCCCACAGTCCCTGCCTAGCTGCAATGACATTTGTTGACTCAATACTTTCAGGCTCAGCAGAGAAAAGGAGATTTGTTTTTACACACACTGGGGGGAGGGGAAGACGCCGCGTGAGAAGAAGGAGAAGTCACTGTAGACTGCAGCACGGATCCAAACGGACCTTGTTCTCAACGTTAGCACTGAAGCACAAAGCTGTCACTCAGATAGACACCAGGCTGTCTTTAAAGCACATTATTCAGTTGCCAAACAATTCTAAAGCTTTCTAAATCTGTTCTGCTGGCACATGGTGGCCAGGCTTCATCTTATTAAGATATTATGTGTTGCTTTTCCTTTTCCTTTAATTTGGGACAAACCTGTAGATTAAGTGTTGCACCGCAACACTGCAACTTGTCTTTCTCTTCCCTTTTCATGATCTGCCATCAAAATGCCTTCAAGCTTGGTAGTAAAACTCAAACTGCCACCACTGAATGAGGTCTTCAAGCAGTGAGTGCTGTGGGACTTTCAGGGGTTGTTTGGACTGGACAGCTTCCTTCCTTCTCCCTTTTCCTTCAGGCTGGCCCTATAAACAAGGAAATGCTCTCACTCCTCAATATGTGGTTAAATAATATTCAAGATACATATCAATGTTTTACAAGTTTCTGCATTATGGAGTAACACTTACTCTGTAATGCTTGTACAGCTTCAATCACTATTTAAAAAAAATAGAAGCAACATAATAAAGTTGGGGATGATTGTTTAATCGTCCTGTCCTAAAATGTATGATTTTTGTTTACTCTGAATGGATTGGTTGCCATTTTTGGCTCCCATAACAAACAAACCACTGTCTGCTATGTTCCCAGTAACTGAGCACAGACCGGAACAGTTAGCAACAAGCTGGTGAACACAGTGGATCATTTAACAGCCAAAGGCCCAGATCGTTCTCCCACGAGCTATTGGACAGTGAACATTGGGCTTGTGTTTGCCAAGTGGCCAGAAATCTGACTGCAAAAGCATGATAATGTTAAACACTGATTTGTTAGTAACTAAGTGTTTCCTAACAACATCACTATATGAAGTCAAACGATGATGAAACGCTGTTTGCAGCGCTCCAGCAGTGCAGTCATTGCTTTTTGCTGTGTGTATTGTCAGCATTCCAGCAGAGGAGCTCCTTGCTGGGCTGCTTCCCATTACAGCTACTGTAACTCGTAAAGCAGAGATTATCTCATTATTCCTCTCACCTTGCAGGATTTCAAAGGAATAGTGGCGTGTGCCATCACCTCTTCTGTAAACACAGAGCTGTGGCCCCATGCTGACACAGGGTCATCACAATTCAGGCACACTTGTCACTTGACTGATTTCACACTCATGCAAACGTGCTGATGACCATTAGTGGGGGATTTAAATAGCTTTTCTTGCTGCCGCAGTAGCCTTGTTTATTTATGTGCTGCAAATAAAGAATATTGGTCTTCTTGAGTTATATGATTTACATGTAAACTTAGAAAACCTAAGTTCATTTAGGGGGCTTTAAGAGCGCACATTCAAACATGAAGCTCTTTGCAGAGTTAAATGAGTCATCTTCTTTTACTCATTTACATGCCACGTAAAATGTTTGCCCTGATCCAAGTCGCAATGATAAAATCTTATAACAAAAAACATTTTCAGCGCTGAATGTGAAAATTCAGAGAAAATTTTAATTTTGTACTATTGATCTTGATCAAACAGGATTTCAGATACTAAAGACTAACGAAATCATTTGAAGGGTGACTCTTAAAGCGTTTCACATCTGTGAAACATTTAACTAGTTAGCATCTTCTACACTTTTGGAGATGTAAAACTGTGCAACAGAGTTTTTATGACATCTGAATTAATGGGCTTGCACATTTTTATCAATGAAGCCACATGAGGGCATGACCTCATTTGCAAAAGCTTTTTTTTCGGTGTTAGTCACTTGTTGCTAATCAGTTTGAGTCATTTGAAAGGACTTGTGATGTAAGCACAGATTTATGGCTTTCCTTACATTAGTCTCAAAGTAGGAGAAAAGGGTGACCGTTTGAGGAATGAATGAGAACTGCTGGGGATCATCGTGAGGCTGGGACAAGCACCACTTCCCACAATCGCCAGTGGAATTTTACACATCTTACCTGAGGCAATCTAAACACACAAGCCTTTATGTAGGGTAAAAGATACACACAGATTAGGCCAATACACAAAATGAGGACAGAGGATTCCCCCCCCTAACAAGATGTCATCCTTCTGCCCCTCCTCCTGTAGTTATCTTAAAAGACTAGGGGGAGTTGTTACTGTGGATCTCGCGTAGCCTAATTGTTTAAGTCCCAGCAGGGGCCTGGTGCACAGTGGTTTATAGAAAAAGAGGGGAGTATAAAATTTTGAATTCTTTGTGTTGTTGTACCTTATTTCACATTCCAAACACACATTTTAGACGTGTGTGCGTGTGTGTGTGTGTGTGTGTGTGTGTGTGTGTGTGCACATTCACTCCATACAAAGATTGACAGTGCACCTCTCTGGGCACAGCAGGGTTGGACCAGGCCAATCATGGTCTACTGCTGTTCCCGTGGAGACCAACTGCTTCTGAGAGGTTCAAGAAGTGGTTCTTGCATTCATGCTGCAGGTGTTTCCATCCACCCCTTACACCACCCCAACTGAAGCCTCAGTAGGCATGGACAGCTATTAAGACCTTTTTTTTTTCTTAAACCAGCCCTGAAATGTAAGCATTTTAAATACCTTTTCAACCCTTAATTAAAGAGGGGATTCGCAGCCCTCTTAGAGTTTCCAGGTCACCCAGAAGAGGTTAAGTTGACTTGCTAGTACATAGTTGCTTCTGAAACATTCTTACTTATACTTTTTATTACCACTGACTGCTTAAATCCAGCACTGTTAGGTATGGAGCGGAGGATGACCCCTGCTGGTGAAGCATGATGACCTGCAGTACGTCTGATCCTTCACTTAAGATTTTGTAATTGAGTTAAAACAAACAAAGTTTCAGCTTCATTCATTTAGTTTCCTGTAAATGCATATCCAGATATTCCCACAGACATGACTGTAGTTTCCATGAGCAACACATAATTCTTATAAAACTTGAAAGTTAAAACTGGAAGCCATTATTAAGGAAGGGAAACAGTAAGGAGAAAAGACTGAGGTATGCCAAATTACACAAGAAGTGGACTGAAAGTCAGTTGCAACATGTCTAATGGAGTGATGAATCCATCCATACATTCTCTTCCGCTTATCCTTATCAGGGTCGTGGAGGGGCTGGAGCCTATCCCAGCTGGCATAGTGCGAGAGGCGGGGTTCACCCTGGATGGGTCACCAGTACAGAGTTTATGTGTTAGCAGGGTGTTGATAGGCCACATAAAACCAGAGTTATGATAAAAAAAATATACGCAGTGTTTTTTTCTGAATAAAATCGTCATGTTTACTGCCGGAATAAATGGTAAAAACTGCGTTTTTTTTAAGGACAGCTTTAGCAAGCACTGTCTGCTTGCGAGAAAACACCCCTTTCCTGTTGGTGGAAAAATGTACCATGTTGACCGATCAAAAAATTATAGGGCAGTATGTGACATTTGGTTGTTTAGGAAGAGGGAGAAGTTTAGTGAGTGTCAGCGGCAAGAGAGAGCAAGTTTTGAGTTGTGAGAAATGACTTTTAGTTTGGAGTGTATAGTTATTGTGTTGTCTTGTGTAGCTCATGTGTAGTGCATTCGATTGTTTCTTTGTGTTTGTCAAAACAATGAGGCAACTGCTGAGTGTCACAGTTGCTGCC